ATAATTAGTTTATGATATGAAGGGAAAGAACCAGCAAGAAACCCCCAAAGTCAAAATAAATTCAATGAAACCAATCAAACGTCAATTTTGATACAAATGACAATAAATTAGTTTGATTTTACGATACTATTCAGCAAAGACTACCCTTCCACTCTATATAAATATATATATATATATATAAACACATTTAATTAAAAAATATATGAAATAATATTCAATACATTATATAAAAAAATATCTAGGCAAGGCAAAAATAAAATATTTAAAGAACAATAACTTATCAGATAACAAACATTGAGCATCACTAGGTTCAAACACACTCGATGCAAAACTGAAGAAGGGTTAATAAGTAAAAGGTAATGGGGAAGTTATACAGCTTTACTACCCACCTATGAGTTGAATAATCTGGCGACAAAATAAGGTAAGTTACCGAGACACATATCCCGATGTTGTCCCAGCCACGGGCGAAAATGATATTATCAATCAACAAGGCATTTTATACTTTTAACTTAGATTATCAAAATAAAACACATAATTATACGAATACAATATTACTTTTCCCTTGAAGAACTTTAAAAATGACTGGAAAATAATTTCAAGTTAAAATATTAATTATAGCAAATTTTCCTTACTACAAAATATCTATAAATTTCAAAAATATTTAAATTAAAATATCAAAAGTATGTTATTTTTACTGATTTGAATAGTAAATAAGTCATAAAATCAAATAAACTCGTTATTGGAATGCAAGCTTTTTTATAACAAATACAAAATATACCGACAAGAGATAACATGAAATTACTTATAACAGTGAAATTAAAATCTGAAATAGTGAATTATCAACAAGTTAAATAATATATAAAGCAGTTGAAATATAGTAATTAATTTAAATAAGAACTTACATTTTATCACAAATAAAACGTTTTAAAAATCACCTGTACTTAATCACCGGCATTCTGACTCTTCCATGTTCGATGACTCTCTGTCCTCCTAGCGCATGAACGATTTTTGTTCGTTGGAATTTATCGCGGTCGATAGAATAGTTGGACGCTTTATATTCAACGGGGACGGAATTAAATACGATCCCTTTCAATAGTGCATTTATTCTTTAAATTATTTATTAGGTAACAGTGATAATATAGCGTTAATTTTGCTGATATTGCAATTTAATGTGTTGTAAGATAGTGATTACTTCAGTGATAATATGCAAATAATTCTGCTGATATTATAATTTAATGTGTTGTAAGACAGTGATTACTTATTGTTGACCTGTATTAAAACAGCAACGTATGACCAAGACGATTTTAATATCTAAAAATAAAAACATTATTTTAAAAAATAGCAGAAAGAAAATTTGAAGTTTTTGATTCATATTTTTAAATATCTAAACTAATAATTTTGAGTTTAGCTAAACTCGGGAACGTATTAAAAATACGTAATTAAATATAAATAGCTCACGAAATTAGTCGATATGTTACGGGTAAAGTTAGATTAACTGTTAAACTTAGGTTTACCCGGGTAAACTGCGAAATACCCAGAAAACGTGGGTAAAGTACGAAATATAACTTACATTATAAGTACATATTTCGGGCTTTACCCGAGTAAACCGCATTCTATCCAGTTTCATTTGGTTAAAGTTGGGTGTAACAAAAACAACAAGGTCATAAATGTATAAAAAAACATATTTATTTAAAAAAAACACACATTTTATAAATAAAATTAAAAACTCTAAGACTCTGTCTTGTCAAAGTAAAGAATACTATAATCTATTTATTTAAGCCAGACAAGCTGCCGTGACATTTTGAGTTTCAAAGATTTTCTATTGCTTTACATTTACATTTGTTGGTCACGCATTTAGCTTTACAGTTGCAACGTCACCTCCTAAAAGTGACTGTTCATTTGCAATTTGTTGCAACCTTTTCTTTTCCGGTTAATCAATTTCCAGATCTACAAGTTTCTCACTACATACAGAAAATTGATTCCTGGAAAACAATTCCTGGATAGTTCCTAACTTGTTAGCTAGTTTATAAAGATTGTCGTCGGTTTTTTCGATAACTGTCATGAGAATGTTTCTAAAATCGCCCCTCCCTCGATCAACGTCTGGAACTTTTACTCTGACTGTATCTCCAACGGAACATGGAGGGAATTTTAAATTAGATAAGGCTTTCATCTTCTTTGCTTGATTTTCTAAATTTCTTTTTGCGTCCTGTCTATTTGACTGTATGTTTCTTTGGTACAAGTAAAGTTCACACATTATACTGGCCGATGTACATAGCTCATCACATTCTGCACATTTGGTCTGATTTTCTAAAGTTTCTATATTACTGGCGTTTCCTCTATAATTATTATCCACATTTTCTTCTATATTTTCACCTTCAATAATATCTTTGTGTAGGTTGTCACTTTCAGTAATATCGTCTTCTTGCGAGATATCTATTTCTAGGTCATTATCCATAGGCCTTCGTTTTTCTTATGTTGTTGAGGCTGTTCACCCACACCAAACTCCCTGACAACCCTGTCAAGCTCTTCTTCGGAGCGTAGATTTTCAATAGTTTCTTTTGGAAAAGCTGAGGTTGATAGGCCGACTTTAATATCATGCCCAAACATGGCGAAATAAGGAGCTTGCTTAATTCCATTATGGTATACCCTGTTTTTCATTAACTGGACAAATCTCAGACCTTATGCCCATCGTCTGCAGTTTTCATCGTCCATCCACGTCATGAGCATATTTTGTATATCCTGATTTGCTCTTTCCACGCTGCCTTGTGACTTACTGTGGCGTGGATTGCCATGTACTATTTTAAGGCCACTCCACATGGAACATAACTCTTCAATGACATGGTTTGCAAATTCCCGCCCATTGTCCGATTGTAGTATAGATGGGGCGCCAAAAACGCAAAATAGGTCTATCAGGTTCCTCTGCCCTTTTCGATTTTAATGCACGTATTTAAACACATTTTGTTAAGTGGTCTTGATAGACCATGATAAATTTGTATTCTCTATCTGCATAGGATTGCATATCAATCAGGTCAACTTGACAACGGCTGTTCATCTCCGAAAACACCATTGGTTTAACCACAAGTCCTTTCTTGGCAGATTTTAGTTTCTTTTGGCAACCTTCACACAAGCGGAGATATAATTTAATAAAATCTTGAGTTATATTCTTGTACTTTTTTTTACATTCACTTTCCATGCGATGTTTACCACCATGTCCAATGGCCAAATGTGCATCATGCAAAATATCAAACATTTCGTCGTTTGTAACGTAATACCTTATGCTCGATTCACCTGATGATACACGAGCGATAAGCTTTTCAACACCTCTAACAGAACATATGTCAAATCGCTTCAAACGTCGATATTGTAAAGTAGTCTTGGTTTTAGCATTTTTTGCCAACTTGACTGATTCTAACATTTCTTGGTATTGGTTCTTACTAAAATAAAAACTGTTTACATTTTTGGAAGACACCAACTAATTGAAAACTTCATTAAAACTCTGTCTTAAACGCGCGCGACCGCTTTCTTCGGTTGCCATTTTAGAACTGACTGCACGTGGCGAAAGATGACGCAATAATAATTCCTACACCCAACTTTAACCAAAATCGGATAGAAAGCGGATTTCCCGGGTAAAGCCCGAAATATGTATAATGTTAGTTGAATTTCGTACTTTACTCATTTCCTGGGTATTTCGGGAAAGCTAACAGAGCTGTCAACATTATAACCAGCTGGATGAAAAATGAAAGCCTTAAACTCGCACCACACAAAACAGAAATTGTGATGTTGGTAAGTGATAGAAAAGATAAATCCATCTCAATGAAAGTTGAAGATGTTCAATTACAAAGCCAGTAAATGTGCAAATACCTTGGCGTGTATTTTGATAGAAATATGAGAATGGGACAACATATCCGTATGATTGCTGAAAAGGCAACGAAAGCTTTAGCAAATATCAGCCGCATAATGCCAAATCTGGGAGGACCAAGAGAAAATAACAGAAGAATATTATGTTCGGTGATACAGTCAATAATTCTATACGCTGTAAGTATATGGAAAAGAGAAAATTTATAGAGACATCCTACTGAGAGTACAACGAAAAACGGCTATAAGAATAACTAGTGCGTACCGGACAACATCGACAAGTGCGCTACTTCTAATTGCGAGGATGCCGCCGATAAATCTACTTGTGGAAGAACGAATTATGATTGAAGAAGGTGATGAACCCAAGACCAGCCAGCGCTCGAAATAAAATCATAGAAAAATGGCAAGCGACGTGGGCAATAGACGACAGAAAAGCAAACTGGACTAACAGATTGGTGCCACATTGATGACTAGGAAACACGGAGAAGTGAACTATTATATAATATATTATATAACAATATATATTATTATTATAACTATAACTGCTTATTAAATGCGCACGCCGACAGTGTGTCGGCGTGGGCATCGAATGTGTTAAGAGTTTATGTTCCTATCTCAAAATTAATCAATTAATAAGTGTTTTAAGGTTTTTTGTGGGTGTCACAGTGGCCTAAATTATCTATTTCTACTTGCTAGACTCTGGCAACAAATTTTATAATTTTAAGAGCCACTTGCATTCTTTCGCAGAGTATGTTCTCTAAATTCTCTGTTTGCAGAATGACCAGGTCATCTACAGACTGTTTTTATTGAGGCAATTGATGAGGATGTCGAGGACCATGTTTAACAGTAGAAGTGATAGCACCCCTCCCTGTGGACATCCCCTCGTAAATAAGCCTTTTATATTCGCATCTTCTACACTTGTTTATTGCTCTCTTTGAGAGTAATTAATCCTTACTCTTAAAAACAAAACAAAAAAATAACTGCTATGTAGAAAGCAGTTATTAATAACTTAAACATTGTCTACATCAGGTCATTTGTTACATGTTACATGTGTGTAAGTAGTTCAACGAATGTATATTGGCTATTGTTGCGACTTGCTCAGAGCTTAATCCAGCTCTGTTTTTTACCTGTTTTTATTTTCTTACCTTTATAAACGTATCCAAAGAGAGAGTAAAAAAATTCCCCGCAAACAATTTTATAACTCTTTGTGATCTTGTCATGAAAAACAACAAGTTCTTTTGAAATTCTAAAGAACAGTCCATCCAGTTGCTGTGGTATGCCGAGTTAGTAAGTTTGTTGCTCTAAAATAATAAGTGTATTGTATTTACTTCAAAATGTTTACATTTGAAAAATTATTACCTCTACAATAACTTCGTTTCCGAAATAGCACACGGGGAAAATTTCCAGAAGCATACAGTATTGGTATAAAGCCATAGAAAAAAATCGTACGCTTGCAAATGATACCTAAAATTAAGAATACAATTATTGTATCTTTTATGTTCTTGCAATTTTTTTAAATAGTTTTCTTACTTGTGTCATTTCGAAGAAGGTGGCACAGAAAACAAAAACGCTTACTATAAATTGACCAAAAAGACTTATGGTAAAGATATGTGTCCAGTCTTCAGCAAACCTAAAAATACACACGTAAAATATAAATAAATCAAACATATTTCACAGAATCATTGAAAGATTGAACTATTGATTTGTAAAAGAAATATGATTCCGTCAGTGGTCACCGTTTAGAAAAAAATAACTATTACATTCAAAAAGTGTATTTGGTTCCAAATATAAGTTTAAATCACCCCACAGCTTTTTTATACAATTTTTTGACTATCTAATAAAAAATTGACTTTAAAGTTGCGTACATAGTCCATTCCTATTTTTAATTATACATGACGAGGCAATAAAACAAGCATATATAAAGAAGAAATACTAATGTGTACTATATTGGAAAATAGGAGAAACTTAATTAACAGAACTTGAGGTACCAAAACGAATCAAAAAATGTAATAGAACGTATGTTCGCTGACGATATGGCTGTCACAGGTGGAGGCAGCAATCTTAACATGTTGAATCAAGAATTACTGGAAATAAACAGGAAAAGAAATTAAAAAAAATAATTATTATAGGAAATGAAAATAAATAACATCCAGTTAATTAACAATTAAAGATACTAGGTCGACAATTCCTAATGTTAAAATTACATTTTAAACTGTCATTTAATATTATTTAATTTATTAATAAACCATTTTGAACTACAGTCCTAAAAATTGGAAAACTGTAAATAAACGAATGAGCATGGTAAAAGTCGGAGGAATACTATGAAAAGACATTATATTAGAAAAATTGGAAGAACGTAAAATCAGAGATAAAATAAACAAAAAAAAAATATTGTCAATAAGAGGAGGATGAATAGTTTTCAGCATAAGAGATATACAAACAATATATTATGGAGTCAAAAATCCTTTTATTTTTGTCCAGCTCTTTAAAATATGCATTTCTTGCTATCTTAAATTCTTTTCTTAAGAAGCCAGGTCTGGCGAGTAGGATGCATGAGTAGTAATTTAATTCCAGTTCATTAATTTTAGCCATCGCAACAAGTGACTTATGACACGGCAAATTGTCCTGATGAAACAGAACCTTTTTTGATAACACTGCCTTTTATCCAGAATTTTTTGTTGCAGCTGATCAAACAAGTTATCCTATTATTGTCAGTTTATTATTTTATCCATTTCTAGGTAATTAATTAAAATAATGCCTTATACAGCTAAAAATACCGATGCCATAACCTTTCCGGTCGATGCAACTGTTTTCGCCTTCTTTGGTACTGGTTCAACTTTCGCTGTCCATTAACTTGCCTGCTATTTGGTAATTTCTGTGGGACTTACAACTTTAATGTGAAAATATTTTATGACAGCTAGTACTTCGAGTTTCTCCATTATTAAAAAAAACTTAGAACTTGATTGGTATCATAGTTCGTAGGCTGAACGGTTGCCTCGTCAGGTTGCTATGGATGGGGGTGTGATGTTACAGAAAAACTGAGTTGACAGAAAATATTCTACTTGGGGTCGTACATTCGTTTTTATAATATCGGTAGTTTGATTTCTTGAAAGACAAGCTACAAAACAGCAAGGAAAATCAAGTAATGAATTCCATCAAATTACTGTGGCCCTTCGTATGGGCCCTCAGTATTGCATTCGTGTAGACGAAAAAATTTTCTTACCCCCATTGTTTAAAACTTTTTTTTATGTTTCCGTTCATTCTGAGTACGAAAATGCAAAAAAAAATTTGTCTGCTCGTCTGTGTGTATGTATGCCGGCACAATAAATCTAGAACGAAAGTTCTGATTGACTTACGGTTTTGATTTTCTTAAATAATTACTTCTAACTTAGATCCCTATTGATTTTCAGAATTTTCGGTTCATCCTAACTACTTTAATATCAATTTTCTTAAAATCCGCCTATGCAATTCTTATGTGACAATTTTAGGAATTCAAATTATTTCTAACGTCAACATTCCTAACATTCTCAACATTCTATAAATTGCAAACATTCTCTAACGACCTGTTAAACAACAGCTGTTGATAGTAAAGGTGAAATTTCTAAGGCGGGTCGTGACCTTCATACTTGCCATCATAGCCATTTTAAAGGCTATTTTTATTCGAAATTAGTCGCCAAGCCTGCCAATTTATGAAGAATATATAAGCAGTTTCTTAAAAATGACTTTTTTATGGTGGTGCTAACTTAAGCATACTACTATTTCGCCCCTAGCCACAAAAACACCTTCATCAAATTTACTGGCTCTCTGTCGAAACCCCATAGAATAATTAACCAGCTATTTTATTTGGCAAAAATCAGAATAATGCTTGGCTGTGCCTGTCAAGTATCAAGATGTTAACTGTGATGTGTGAATGGCTCTTAAATGTCAAATTAAATGTATGCTTCTTTTGATATTTATTGCAAATAATTTGTAGTGTATCTCAATTCAGGCTTTCCATTAATAAAGGTACAGCAAGACAAATAATATAATGTTTATACAAAGCACTTTTTACTTTCCTATTTGTATACAGATAAGGAAAGTATAGGAATCATGATTTTTTTCGACCTCCAGTTTTCGACGGATTTTTACGTTTTGGGGTTCCCTAAAATTTGACGCCCGAGCAGGTAAATTTGTAAGGGGTTTTCTCGCCACAGAGAAAACGTGTCCTTACGAATAGCGCTGGTTACGGGCGGTTCTCGAGCGCCAGATTTTTTGGTTATGGTTTACTTCACAAACTCTCGAAACGGCGTCGAAAGTACTCGGGTAGCTACAGATGTAGATGAAAAATTCCATTGGTCAAAGGTCACTTAGACGCAGGTAATGGTAGGCCACAAGTAACGGGCTTTAATCGTTGCTTGGGCTGGTACAGAATTTATCACTAGCTAAAATACAAGGAGAAAATAAAGTATGGAATTAGTAACCAGTAGGCAAGTTGACATTGACACATATATTGTGAATAACTATTTATACATTAAAATAAAAAAATTATATATTTCAACGCCCACTCGCGTTGCGATGATAGTCAATACAACCCTGAATAAACAAAACAAAGAAACGGACGGTAATGAATCCCGACTAGTCTCAATCAGACGTCAAAATTGAATTAAAATAAAATGAATGTTTCGGTCGCCGGAAAAATTAACTTGACTACTTAGTCGGTAATTAAACTAAAACATAATTTTCCATTTCAGTAAGGAAAAATTCTAAGAGCGGTCGTAGCAAAAATTAACTATTTAACTGTCGTATCGGGAATTAAATTAAAATGTACTTTACTAGTTCGGTAAGAAAAATGATCTATACGGTCGCAGAGAGTGCGAGGAGACAGGGTCGTAAAAGAACTACTTGTAGTAAATATTCGGAAAGGGGAAAAAATAAATTTATATCCGCGGTAGCCTATTATCCCAGTAGAATGAGCTGATCGTCATCACGAACCCGCTCAAACAGGGTAATAAAGCTATTTAATATTTCTGTAATTTGCAATTTGCACGAAAAAAAAAAAGAATACAAAGTGAAAAAGAAAACTAATGCGGATAGTACCTAATCCAAGAATGAGCTGATCGTCATCACGAGCCCGCTCAGACAGGGACAGGATACTATTTAAGGTTATTTAAATTGACTTTAAATTGACGGTGAAAGAGAAAACAAAACTATTATCAGAGGGAAGAAAACTACTAACGCGGATAGTACCTAATCCACAAATGAGCTGATTGTCATCACGAGCCCGCTCAGACAGGGACAGGATACTATTGAAGATTAATTAAATTTGCGGTTTGCACATTAACAAAAAAATTGCGCGGATAGCACCTAATCCAAGAATGAGCTGATCGTCATCACGAGCCCGCTCAGACAGGGACAGGATGCTATTTAAGATTATTTAAATTTGCGGTAAAAGAATAAACAAACTATTAAAAGAGGGAAAACGTCTCCTCGAAAACTCCGTTTCTAAATGTTCCCAACTTATTTATAACGCGGCACTTACTAAACAAAAGTATTTATCAATGAAATCAAAAAGGAAAGTTTAATTTCTTAGGTCAGACTAACTACAAAATTTCTAAATCAACGGTATCACAAGAAAGTATATCCATTCTGTTTATTTACCAAGTATTGTTTGAGGTTACTTTTGAATACATTTATTGTTGTTTTTTTTTTTAATTTCTGTAGGCAGTCTATTAAATTTTTTAAACCTTTAATAAAAATTGTATTTTGGGAACTTTTGGGGATGGCTTGCCGTACATTAAAGTCAGATTGACTTCTTGTATTATAGTTGTGATATTGCGAATTAAATAGAATTTTTTCTAATAGATCTGATGCGATAGATTTGTCATTTTTATTTTATAAATAAATATCTCAGTCATGTACTGAACATAATTCTGAATTGAAAGCCAATTTATTTCTTTTAACATAGTTGCAATACTCATCCTTCTGTCCTTTATTATTAGAATATAAATAGGCGAAGGAAGGAGCTCAAATATTTTACATGAGCAGGCCTAAGAGGTAAAGGGGCCAATTGTTATTGGATAAATTGCTCGAACAAGTTTTTAAACCCTAATCAAAAGCCCATATAGAATGGTTTTAAAAATCAACGCTTGTAAAAATCATCACATGGTTTAACCTAAGTAATGACAATGCTTCACAAAACAAAAAATTCAACGTCATATTACTACTTTTGGTCTTTCGTTCCAAGTTAAATTATTTCTCGTTTTTGTTACGCTACAAGTTTACCCTTGTGGGCCTCAGTCTCGATGAGGTGGGAACCACCATTTTAGCGTCTCTCGAATTTTAAATAAATTACTTTTTATTTGAATAAGGAAAAATATTGTGGGAATGGTTTATTGTAAATATTTTGGGTTAAGGTACGGCTTTGTCTATATGCTGAAATATTTTAAAATTTTTGAAACCTGGAGCGAGCTGTAGTGTTGCTGTTGGCCAACAAATTTTTACACACAAAAATTCATTAGACGAAAGGGGACCGAGCCTAAACTGAAATTAAAGGCTAGGTAAGATTTTAGAGTATTATTCTACAAATATCCATTTACTATTATTGAATTAATTGCAGCTTTGTCCACCCTACATTTAAAAGCCGATGAGATGGTTCCTTACAAGCATTAAACATAACCAAGAACAAGAAAAGAAGAAGAGCTTCACTAAAAGAACATAAATTATTAAGTGTGGTCCGAATTCGGCTTGGAGGCCATGCCCTAACTTAAAATGTTTAAATTAAATAATTCACACAATAATATTTCTCTTCATATTTCAAATAAAAAGTAATTAATTTGAAATTTGATGAAAATCATTTTATGATTTTTCCTTGCTGTTTGGTAGCTTGTTTTTTAAAAAACCAAACTACTGATATTATAAAAACTGTAACACTGATACATAGTTCAAAAATAAAACTATGAACCTCACTAAAAAACAATTAAATATTAGATTTTTTAAAAAACTAATGTACGAACACAAGCACAATATTTTCTGTTAACTCACTTTTTCATTCCGTGACGTCACTGCATTCTTAGCAACCGTAATAAGGCCACCGTTTCTCACCGTAATAAGGCCACCGTTTCCTCTCTACGAACCGTGGATTGGTATAGCGAGCTGTCAAATACCAATCCTCTACACAAAGTTATACTCTTTTACATACATAACATATGACATATTGCATTAAATAAAACAATAAACAAAATAATCAAAATCACAGTTCACTATAGGTTAAGCTCCATATTCATCCCATAGTATTCATTGGACCTACTTAAGAAGGGAACATCAAAAAGTTTAGCCAGAGATAAATATTATATTAGAATTTATTAGGGATTGTTTTAAGATTTGACTAATTCACTAAATTCACTAAATTCACTAAATTCACAACAATTAGCAAGAAAACTAAGAAAAATAGACACAACAATTAGGGCCAAATATTTCAACCAGAGAAGGTATAGCAGTTACACTAGAAGATTTAGACAAAGTTAAAATTAATTTTTATAATAATTTTCTATGAACTAGTAATTTGTCAGAAAAAATATTCTTCGATTACCCTACATCCTATTTCAAACAAACAAAAATTGAATGTAAAGTCCCTTAAAGATAGAATCAATAAAATTACGGAGCGTTCCATGTATAAGACCTGGTTTATGGTTGGTGACCTACCCTGCATACCTACCAAGAATTTTGGCAAAAATCAATCGTTCAATTAACTTTTTTCAGATTAACCCGTTTTAAGTTGAGAAATTAGATATAATTTTCTTACTCAATTATATATCTATGATGCATAATACACTCGATCAACTTGCGGTTCATGATTTTTTGTAAAATATCCGTTTTTCGATTTTTTTCATAACATTTGGTCACGCAGTTGTTTTGTTCCATTTCAAATTCCGCTATGTCCCTAATATGTGCCAAAGTGTCGTTTAAAATATTCAATTGACCGCAAACCACCATTAAAAAACCTGAAATATATAATTTATAAAAAATAGTCATCGTGTTTATTCGGTTTTAAAATTTTTTATAATATATCTTACTAGCCATCAAGCAGTCAGCGCTTAGATCAGTATATCCTCCGATCGCAGTAGCCACGATTTCATAAGCGTATACATAACCAAATAACGTCGAGTTTTTAGTTTCAAATGGAATATAAGCAGCTATGGGCAGAAAAGGTCCATTCTCGTCTGTATACGGATATACAGCCCAAAAACTGCACGTTGCGGTACATCCAGCATACAATAAGAAAGAAATCATTTTCGACAATTTCACGTATTTTTTTAATGATTCAAATTGGGCCAATGATTGCGGTTGGAATTCCTTCCTGTTGATTTTTTCTGTTAGAATTAAAAGTTTCTTTTGATTTTTGCAGATGACGTAATATTTGTAAATCGATACCAGATTGGTTAAGGTTAAAAATAAAGCGTTCATCAGCTCGTTTAAGTTGTTTAAGCTGTAGTATAAATTGACCAGTTCAGCTAGCACTATACCGCCAAAGAAAAATCCTAAAAATTTGAATGTTATTCTTATTAAAATTACGAAGTTAACAGTAGCTTAAAAGGTAATACAGAAATTGAAGTAGAATCACGGAAAAAAATTGTAGAACAAATTTCTACAATTACACATTTTTTCTCTACAATAAATAGTACATATAGGGACAGGGACAATTTGTAGTAAAAATTTCCAAATATTTGTAGAGAATGTATTGTAGAGTTATTATCTACAATATCTATATTCTGTTTTTAAACTAAGAGGAGCGAATTGAAAAGTCCTTTTTACACAGGGAAAAATAACTAAAAAAGTAACTAGATATCATTTTAGCGGTAAATTTGAATTTGTCTTGTATCATTTCAAGAAAAACATTTCAAAACTTTGTTATGAATTCATTGAAGTCAAAGTTTTAGATAACCAACGAATAAAGATGACACTAAATTGTGCTCATTCCGTTTTTGATTTATAATTATTGTATTTTAGTTGTACTTTTATTTTTTCCTTACTTTATCTCATATCGCAGCTCGGACCAGAATGTTGGGAAGAGAATCGCCCATTCGCCATTCGCCCAAGCAGCGCTCAAATTTCAGTAAATTGAGTAAAATGTCTCCCAACAGAATACAAAATAATTTACATTTTGAGTTTAACATACAGTTTTAATTCATTGTTTTATAAGTAACTGTGATTAGAAAATTATATATCTATTATAATAACAGAAAAGAAAGTAAATAGTAGGTTTTTCAATTTGATGGAAAAATTAGAAAAATAGGTATGCCAGTTCTATTTGTTGAAATGAAATTAAGCACCTACTATTACCTACCTATTACAAAACATATTTAGGAGGGACTGAAAAATATGTAGTTGAAGAAAAGCTTATTTAAAATGAAGAATTTTGGCAGGTACAAAAAAATAAAGTTTATTTTTATATTTCATTATAGGTATAGTTTAATTTGTAATATTTTTTCTTAAAATTAAACTACAAGATTACCATTAGTTGTATGGATTTCCTAATTAAATAAGGGTTCTTTCTTCAGGTAAAATGTAGCAAAGTTCTGAAGTACGATACGATATGTTTGCAGACAAGTGTTTTGAAATGAAATAAATCAAATCTATACGAATTTTGTCTCCACTAACAAGATGTTATATTCAACAGTCGAAAGTGTAAACTTGTGGGCAATAGCTTATTAAATGTATGTAGAAGTCCAAGAAAGTGCAATGGTACCAGCTTTTACTACAATAATAATGGTTTTTATCATTCTCCTGTTTTTTTGTAGATAGGATTTATAATTGTTGCTTAAATTCCACATTGTGTATCAGAATGTCTTTGGTCTTCTTGAAAACATATTTTTATACAATATAAAGCAGATGGTATATTTTTTTGAGACATCCTTCAAGCCTTTCGAAAACTAAATGTTTATTTGCAGGTATGATAATATCTATCTTAATTTTGTATGATCATTTATTGTATAAACAAATAATTAAATAAAAATTATTAAGGCATAAAAAAGGTAATTTGTAACTTTGTGTCAGCAGAAGGATTTCCTACACCCAATTTAATATATTTTTTACAAACAAATAAAATGTCTTTAGTATGATCGGTAGATATTTTTAATAATTCAGCACTACATATGTTTCGGAATCTTCTGGTGCAGTCACAGCTTTTCAAAATTTAAAAAAACATTTAGGAACATAAACACTTTAAAATGATCATGGACGAAACCCATATTTTGTGATAGTGTGTAGGTAGCTTACAACTAGTTGATTAAATTAAAATACACGTTTGACAAATCTTTTACACATTCGCAGAGTTTAATATGTGTAAGTGTAGTTATAATCTTTGCAGTCTATTTTATAAACTACATTTAGTTGAGTTGCTTTCTTGAGTTTGGGTTTAAAATTTTAAAATAAGGTTTCGTTTACGAGCAATTTTTACATTATATCTAGAGAACATTTTTGACACTTGTTTGGAAAGTCCTTTTACATATAGCAATTTAATGTTTAAAAAAGGGTGCTACACCAAATGTTACAGTGATAACACTTTATGCTTTTGACTATTTAAGTATCAAGCTATTTATTTAAAATAATAAAACAATGTATTTATTTTAGGTTAAATAATGAAAGTTTTGGAGGCCACAAATTATGGACATATTCAGATGGCAATAGCACTTATAAATATATCCAAAATATTTTTTAATTTTAAATGTTAATTAACAATTTTGTAAATGGTTTATTTTCAAATAAATAAAATTTACTTTAATATTTAGTTATATTTTAATCATTTTGATTAGAAATTCATTAATTTTTAGTTTAAAAAAAATTAGTAATAAAGTTGTATTTTTTTTAAGTAGAACACCAAAAAAGCAATATTTACCAATTTATAATATTGCGGAAAAAATGCTACCATATATTCCTGAGGCTTAAATATAACGATTTAACCCAATTTATATCAGTCCAAAAGTGGATGATTTCAGAAGTACAAAGTTCAATTTAGTTTTTCATAAATAATTTTTTTAATATATAATGTATTTTTAAAATATTTGGTTAGGAAGGATTTGTGGGGTAAAATATTTAAAGCTGCTCCCATTTTTATTGTAAAATTTAAAGGACGCCTTTTTTATAAATCCAATTTCTCAAAAACGGCTGCTTAAATCTACCCTTACCACATACCTTGCAGAACAAGAATTTTTATTTAAGTTAAATACAGAGTGGCGATTAAATGTGTGTAAGGTACAACAATTTTACAATAAAAATGAGAGCAGTTGTAATTTTTGTATACTACACTCTAGTTTTGTAATTTTTTTTAATATGGGCTAGAAAAACAACATATGAATAGTAGTATCTTTATTTTGTAAATTTGTTATAATATTTTAATTAATAATAAAGTTTGAAAAATAAAAGAAAAATACATAAGAGGTGCCTATACAACGTAATAAGTGAAAAGACAAAGAACATCTTGACATTTACATTGAATCAGAAACAAAAAACACTAAGTACTCAATATGTTAATCTACATCAGAAGATTTATTTGTGCCTCTATCAATTCTATGGGGTTTAACTCGCAGTGATATGGGGCAGCCACTACACAACTTTATTGGTTTCTTTAGCCTTTACATCGACAACATTTAAATTATGTGCATCTCTATGTTGCCAAATTAGGTGTAAAAGTTGATATCATTTAATATTTAAATAAATTTAATATTTTTAGTTTTGTAACCATTCCTGTCAGATTTTCTTGATGACAGAGGATTTTTTTCAACTTTTCGACTATGATGTGATACATTTTCCATCACAATCATAGCATAATTAGAAAACTTTATAAAAAATGTAGAAAACCAATTCTAAAATACTTCGGATTTCGTCTCGTCAAGGTAAATGCATTTTCTACAAAACCTTCAGAATTAGCACGTATATTAAGGCACCTGCTTTTGGCTTTTCAGGCCTGTTGATAAACCTTATTATGATCTTCATCAAAGTAGAAGCTTGGCCTGTTTTATTTCCTATATTGTTTGATGGATTTTAAATCTACGTATATAGTGTTCTATCAATACACTTTGACAATTTCTTTTCAAATATCTAAAAAAATATATACATAATAAATAAACAGTACATTTGACTGGTCAAAGTTACAAACTTACTTAGTTATTATATCTGAAGAAAGTATATAAAGATGAATAATATATTTGTGGCAAATCTAAATATTTTAATTCTTGCAAAATTTTATTCCATAAATACTTTTTAGACTAGATATTGTTCCATTATTGAGGTGTTATTTCAATAATCGGTAAGTAGTTGACTTTGACCTGTAAGAAAAATATTGATTATTTAATATTATTTTTAATTTGAAAGTAATGAGTAAAACTTACGGGTAACTTGAGAAATTTTGGATATAACATCAACAATTTTGGTTTTCGTATTATTATCCAATACCTATTTGTACATATTTATTATTTACTGCTTTTCTGAGAGACTTGAATAGCCTAAACTCATTCGTTTTCGTTGTTTTGATGGACTCCGCGAGGAACTGTTATAATAAGTATTCGATGTAGAAAGATCCATAATCGTAGAAATTCAATACAATTGCTTACTAAAGTTTTGAAAAGAACTGTTATTAAAGAAATAAAATTAAAAACTAAGTAATAATGATGAGATATCAAAGCAATAACAAAATTTAAATTATAAAATGTCAGAATCGAAAATAGAACTGTCAACCCCTGTTAACAGTAGCTAAAAAGTGATGTGTGAAACTGACTTCAATCTGACCAATTAGAAGTCTACAGAATTGCCAACTTAAATTCAAATCGCTCCTCTTAGTTTAAAAATAGAGTATAGTAAAAATATCCATATGCATCATAAGAATTGTTCTACAAATTGTTATAATTTTTGCTATTCATGGTATGAATTTATATTAAAAATTTTACACAATAAATAGTAAAAATTCAAAAAAATTGTAGTAATATTTATTTACTGATTTTTTAAAAGATTTTAATAAAATTGATCATAAAAGATTACTTGAAAAGTTGAGTGAAATTGTTTATAAAATAGTGGTTAAATTGGTATTAATAATAGAAATACTTCAAGGAAATTTAAAGCTAAATCAAGAGTACCACTGGGATTCAATTTAGGATCTCTTCTTTTCGTACCGACAAGTGATGCCCCGAGACGATACGTTTCGTCTCATAGAGCGAGAGAAAACTGTTCTCTTGTTTCAACGAGAAGGCACTTCTCTCGTTCGAGAGAGCATTTCTCTTTCTCGTTTCTCTTGAATTTAAATTCGAAAAGATATACTTAAGACGACACATGAAAAAAACTAAAATTTTAAAGACAAGGGATTTTTCAAGTGATTGTTTCATTAGTACACAAATTGGCAATAATAACCACCTATGGAATCATTTCGATGTCTCTCTGTCTGTCCATCTGTCACAGTCGTTTTATTCAGAGACTATTTGACACACACAATTGAAATTTAAAGTAACTAAAAAAAAATACTTTGTTATCTTGAAAGTCATTTGGGGGA